TCAGCAGGACCTTTTTGTCCTCGCAGACGTAGTCACAGAACTCACACTTGAACCTGCCAGGACAACGCCGCCTGTCACACGGGCAGCAGGGACCTTCTGTCTTCCCCTCTGAGGGGGAGCCAGGACAGGGGCTCTACCAGGGCACACCGCAGGCTGTTGCCAGGCCCCTACCTGCGGTTGGCAATGGCCTGGATGTGCGTCAGCAGGTGCATCTTGAAGGTGTACCGCTTCTTAAAGGACTTCCCACACTGCAGCGAAACAAAGCAAAGCAGCATTCACCTCCCATCCAGCCTCACTCGCTGCCAGCCCTTCCCCAGCCTGTGTCCCCCCCTCACCTTGTCACACATGTGTGGTTTCTCCGTGCTGTGCGTCTTCATGTGCTGCGTAAGCCTCTTCTGCATGGGGTAGATACGGTTGCATACAGGGCACGGGAAGGAGTTCAGCTTTGGGGGCTGGAGGGAGAGCACGAAGATGAGCTCACCTGGGAGGGGCTCACCAGTTTCCTTACCCTCTCCCCACTGCAGGACCTGGGCTGCCTTTCCTCAGGTGATTCAGAAACACTGCCTTCAACGAGGCACCAAGAATTTGTGGAAGACCCAGACATGCCTCTTCCCATATAACAGTGCCGAGAGACAAGCCAACAGGCTACTCAAACTCACCGGATCAGCTCTCTTTTTCCTGAAAAAGAAAGAAGAAAAACCCCTGTAGGTGTCAGCTACATCCCAAGTCCGAGCTCCCTTGTACCCAGACACCAAAACTACCCGTTTTGGAAAGGGCCAGACGTCAGGGGAAGGGGCAGCCGTGGCTGCCCTCCCAGGGCAGGAGGAACAGTGTTAGTGCCGTTCAGCCAGGCTGCAAGACAGTCTCTAGGACTGCACTTCCCTTACCTGTCCCGGCTGTGCACTGTGGAGTGCCGGATGACGTCCTTCTTGTACACGCTGGTGTAATTGCACTCCTCGCACTTGTAGGGCTTGCTGCCCACGTGGTTGAACATGTGTTCCTGCGAGAAGTAGAGTGGGGGCTGTGAGACCTGGGGCTACCAGCCACCCTCGTGTGTACAGGAACAGGACAGACGGCGCTCACCTTGAGGGAGGACCAGCGCCGGGAGCGGTAGCTGCACTGAAGACACTTGAAGAGCTGCGGGTCATTGGCCTCGTGCGAGTTGACGTGGAAACGCAGATCATCGTGCGTGAGGAAACGTGAGCCGCAGATACGACACAGGTAGGGCCTCATCAGGGGCTTGGGTGACTTGTAGTAGTACCTGCGGAAACAGGACCGGGGCTCAGAGCTGTGGTGGCAAACAGGGGCTGGACCGGCCCTGGGCACAGGCCAGAGGGCCCAGCACCGGCTCGGCACACACCCCTCACCTGCGCCCCATGTACTTGCGGTATTTCTTGCCCAGGAAGCGGCGGGAGGGCCGCCCTCGCCTCCTAGGGATGACGTCTGCCTCCTCGGGGCCGGTGTTGGAGGAAGGGTCCTTGTTCTCGGAGTCAGACTGGCTGATGCTGGGCTCCGCCAGGCTCTCGCTGGTCCCGTTCTCCAGGCCAGAGGAACTGGCTGCTTCTGAGTTCTGCAGCTCACGGCTCAGTGTGCTCTGGGACGTCACCAAGGGCTCCACCTCCCCTCCTGCTCGACAGAACACAGCACAACTCTGTCACACACCCTCCCTGCGGGCTCCCGGGAGCTCATGTACCGCTTCCTGCTCCAGCCCAGCATGGGGCTGCTGCCTCCCACTTCCCTCACCTTCAGGCACGTCCTGGGGCATGTCCTCCAGACGAGGAAACTTGCGGGGTCTCCCCGGGCGTCGACGCGGCCTCTCCTCGCTGGATGTGGGGACAGTGCGGCTGTACTTGGGCTGTCGCCCACGGGGCTCATCCTCAGCTGGGTTATAGTCACTGTCCTCTGGAAGTAAGTGGCCCAAAACGTCAGACAGAGACTGGGAAAAGACTAAGCTACATAAGACGTGGGGAGGATGAGTCCTACCTTCAGGGTCATCAATAGCACCAGCGTCCATGATATCGTCGTCATCTTCTTCTTCTGGGACCTCCTCCTCTGCAGTCTTTGAAGCAGATCCCCCCTTTCGTGGACGTCCTTTCTTCAAAGCCAGAGCTGAACCCACTGCCACAGAGAACAGAACAAAAACTTTACCGGACTGTATGACAGAACATATCCTTACACTCATACTCCTCCCCTTGTTTCTTCCCCGGAGAGAGCAGAGCCCATCTGCAGTAAGATAAATTTTCCTCAGCCCTTAGCACACACCTGGCTGGAAGTGCCGCTCTTTCATGTGGTTAATTAGCGTTTTCTTGGAGACACTCTTGTACTGACACATCTTGCACTTGAACTGCTGCACCACCACCACCTCCATCATCTCTTCCAGGGTCTCCATGTCCGGCTGGTCCAGCTCCTCCCCACCATCTGCCTCTCGGGCCTGATCTGGCCGTGCGGGCAGCTCCAGCACTTCCAACTGCTCGGAAGGGTCTGAAGGGCCAGGCTGGTCAAGGCATGTGGAGGTAGGTCCATCAGCAACAGCTTCTATCGCCAAGCTATTGGCCAGAGCAGAGGTGGCCATCTGGGACACCATGGGGGCACCTGAAACACCAAAACCAGCTCAGCCAAGCAGCAGACCCTCACCTGCATCCAGGCTGCACCCACACCTGGGGCACAGGGCTGAACACGAGCTCAGTAACAAGCTCCCATCAGTCAGCACATCCACAGGGACGCTGGTACAGGCACTGTGGCCGATGTAGCTGGGATACCTGCTCCAGGCCCCGCTCTTGTGGAACAGGCTCAGAGGCAGAGACAGCCACCACCGGACGCCCCAGGGCACACCCTTACCATCATCGGGGCCCTGCAGAATGAGGTACTGCGTAGTCTCTGCCCCACCATCCTCCGCACTGGTCACAGCGATGCAGCCTGGGAGGAAGAAGAGAGCAGAGTGGTTACTGCCAGACACAGGCCCTGGAGAGTCACTTCGGCTCACTGGGGCTCTCCCATGTTCAGACACAAGCGGGAAGGGGCGAGGAAGGTCTGGCTCCAGGGACAGAGCCTGCCCTGGGCTGCTGGCACCGCGGCTGAAGGAGCAGCCAGACAGAGGGACGGCTCTCCGG